GGCTGCGCGGCCTGCGGGCGCGCCTTCTCCCGGCGCAGCGACCTGGGCACGCACGAGCGCACCCACACCGAGGAGCGGCTGCACGGCTGCGCCGAGTGCGGTGAGTCCGGGGCTGCGGGTTTGCAGGTTCAAATCTGCTGCTGCTGCTGCTGCTGTGCCCTTGAGCAAGGCTTCGCTCCCACCAATGTGAGACGGGTTTTGGTTCAAAGTGTCAGCGGGATTCATAATAATCTAGTAGATGGTAGATGCTCGGTATGAGCCATGTTGAACCACGGGGAAATTCATGTCGTCGCCAGGCTCTTCGTTCATTTTTATTTACTGCAGCCTTCAGTCGTGTGCAGTTACCAGGAGCCTTTCAAGTGTCGAGGGCTTAAAATGTTTTTTACGAGCTCCTGATTTTTAGAATACTTGTGCAGCACTTCTGACTAATATTTATGGGTGGGTAACGAAATATTTTAAGTGTTTTACCTGAGAGTGTAATTGCGGACTGCACTAGAAGGGTGTCCAGGGGGGGAATCTCTGTGGTCTGCAATGCTTTGAACAGACGAGCCCCGCTGGATGAATTCAATGTTGCTGGCTCTGCGATTCGTGGCCTAACGAACGTTCCCCCCCCCCAGGGAAGAGCTTCCGGCGGGCGGCGCACCTGCGCTCCCACGCGCTGATCCACACGGGGGAGCTGCCCTTCCCCTGCCCGGACTGCGGCAAGCGCTTCCGGCACCTCACCAACCTGCGCACCCACCGGCTCATCCACTCGGGCGAGCAGCCCTACCACTGCCCCGACTGCGGCAAGGGCTTCCGCCAGCGGGGCCACCTGAAGCTGCACCGGCGCGTGCACACGGGCGAGCGGCCCCACCGCTGCCCCGACTGCGGCAAGGACTTCGGCCGGCTGGTCTACCTGCAGTCCCACCGGCGCGTGCACACGGGCGAGACGCCCTACTACTGCGGGGACTGCGGCCGCTGCTTCAGCCGGCCGGGCAGCCTGCAGATCCACCGGCTGGTGCACTCGCAGGAGAAGCGCTACCGCTGCGGGCAGTGCGGGAAGGACTTCCGCCACTACAGCGGGATGAAGGCCCACGAGCGGGTGCACACCGAGGAGCGGCCGTACCGCTGCGGCGAGTGCGGCAAGGCCTTCCGGGGCTCGGGCGGGCTGCAGATCCACAAGCGCAGCCACACGGGGCTGCGGCCCTACGCCTGCCCGCAGTGCGGCAAGTCCTTCAAGGAGTCCGGCGTGCTGAAGAACCACCTGCGGCTGCACTCGGGCGAGCTGCCCTACCGCTGCCAGGACTGCGGCAAGCGCTTCCGGCAGCTGGGCTCCTACCGCACCCACCTGCGGCTGCACAGCGGGGAGAAGCCCTACGCCTGCGCCCACTGCCCCAAGCGCTTCCGCCACTCCAACAGCCTGCAGGCGCACAACAAGATCCACACCGGGGAGGCCCCTTTCCCCTGCCCTGACTGCGGCCAGCTCTACAAACACATGAGGAGCCTCGTCCTGCACCGCAAGACGCACGCGGCCTGAGGGCGCCCGCTTGCCGCCGCCGCGCCCGCCCTGCCCGAGACACGAGACCCGTACGCACACACACACGCGCACGAGCGCGCACGCTTGCTAGGAAGGGAGAGAGGCATGCGGACCCCGATAGAGGGGAGGCGGCAGCGCTGCTGGCGATAACTGCACCCACATGCCCAGGGGGGATCAGATCGAGAGAGCCCGAGAGGTGTGAGCACAGGAGCTGAAGGGGGACGGGCGTCAGTGCAGACGTTCAGGCGAAGGAAGAGAGCGCTTGAAGAACAAAGCATGGGGGGGAGAGAGAGCGGGGATCAGTGAGGACCACGCCATCCTCACTGAAGCCGCGAGTTCTCCCAGCGCTGTTAACTTAATGACCCAACGGTATGGGCTTGCCTGTACCAGCGCGGCGCTGCCTCCGACTCGTCAGCCCCTTCCTCTGTCTTTGAAAAGGTGGAGGAAGTGGCGTTGGTTTTCAGTGACCCCATAAAACCCCGAAATCGAGAGTGCCAAGGCTGGTGGTGCGACAGAAGCAGGTGTGAACGCGGTTTTGGTTTAGCTCTTCCACAGTCCTTGCCGAAGTGAAAGGTTAACACTTGCTACAGTGTCCAGGAAGCTGTGGGTGGCAATTGGCAAGGATGAACCGGAAGCGCGCTGAACACTTCTGTCGGCAGCGGTTTTCCTCTCGCGATTAAATAGTTCTGCTTTTTTTCTGGCAGATCTCAGCCTTTATTTTTCTGGCAGTGAAACCTATGTACCCAAGTATTCATACACTTGGTCAAGCATCCCTGGACCTTAACACAACAGCTGTTGTTTTAGTGGAAGCTGTGCACTGGGCTCGGTGTAACAAGGGACTTTTCATTTTGTGACGCTGTAGGAGTGATGTAATTTGTCATGGTTAGGGGTCGGGGCTGGGCTGATGGGATGATAAGGATGTGGAAATTGTCCAAACTGCTGTTGATGGGGGGAGAGATTAGCCACCCCTGTTTTCCGAACATAACTAACAAACAGGTGGCCTTTGCTAGTTTTTTTTTGCCTGTTTTTATTTTGCCTTTTAATTTTTACAAGAATAAAGGAGAGTGTAGTTTCCCAGCATTGTCATCAGAGCTGTGTACAGTGTCTATATTGATGTTATCACAGCCTTTACGCCAATGATTTTTTTTTTCCATTTAAATGTACCATGTCTGGTTGTATGCAAATATGTACATACTCCATGTAAAAACGGATTGCTTAAAATGACACTGCAAATCTCATTTGTGTCAACAAGCTTTTATAATGCTTGATTTGTTTCACTCCTTTTTTTTTTCCAGTTTTTCCAGTGCTGTGGGATGCTTTCATGAAAGGCACTTTGTAAAATAAAGGTAAATATCATTGCCTGTGATTTTGTAGCTATTTTGGCCGTAATTCTTTGTTTTTCCTCTGTCATAGTTAATGCCACCACATCCTGTAACTCAATAGTTTATATATTCTATATGACGCTTAATAATATTTGATTGGTTGAGTCTAATCCTGATTTTCTGAATAATATGATCTATATGACTGACTATGCAGAATTGGACACACCTGGTTTAAAGCTAATGTGTAGCTGGAATCTGTATATAATGTCAGAAAACAATAACTGAGAGCAGCTATTTCAAAAAGCCAAATAAAGTTAACATTGAATTACATTTTTTCAACCCCTTGTAACACCTTTTGAATTTCAGAAATTCCTATTCATTTGAATGAGTTTATCCCGACTAGACAGCCATATGTAATCAGTGTCCATAAGAGATCCATCCTTAAAAGTCTATAATAACACTAATTGCACAATTAATGCTGGAATAATCACAAAAACAAAATGTCAGGTGTTTGGCATAATATTGGAATTTTAATAAACTGCTGGGGCATACATCCATTTTTAATGGCAGAGAGTGGGCACAAGGCGGGATGCACCCTAGACAAGATCCCTGTCCTGGTCAGCGCACGCAAAAGCACATCTGCACATTTTACAGGCATGTTGGTTTTATTTCCACTTTTACACTGTGCATGAGAGTACAGAAAGATCACTTTCGTAGCTATAGATTTCATAGCTGCTGTCCTGAGGCACTGTAGGGGCCCCTGCGGCCGGCCCTAGGTCTGCCCGGCCAGTGTCGTCTGGGGTGTGACCTGCGGCTGGTGCCCTGTGATCAGCTGCTCCAGGGAGATAAGAGGGGGAGACAAAGTCGTTCTGATGGGTTTCAGAGCTGTGCTGCTCCGGGGCTGTGCTAAGGCTTCCTTCCAGGGGCCCATGCGGATACCCCGGGCATCCTTCAGTGCCACGCCGGGGGAGAGCTCCATGGAGTCCAGCAGCAGGCTGGCGGCGAGGGGCAAGGGAGCCCGGAAAAGGCCGGTATCCCCCCGGGCGTCTCGGTCAGCGGATACTCGAGAGGAAGTGCTTGGCAGGGGAACGTTGCTCCTCTGAAGTTTCTGGGCATCTCTGTTTGGTATGCGGACCCGTGGAAGAGGAGGAGAAGCCCCATCCTGTTTATGTCGTCTCTCCAGCACGGGCCTTGGCAGAAGAGCACCCCCTGTCTTTCCAGAGTTGCACTGCAGGGTTTCTGGCTCCAGTACCTCGAACCCGGGGCAGATCCGATGTTGTGGCAGGCGAGCTAGGCTCAGCTTCTGCATGGCTCCCTCCACTGCGCTGATGGCGTTCAGTGGCCGGGGGAGGCACGCGTTGGGGGCTGGCCTGTCCTGCTTTGCCTGGTTGGGCTGGGATTCCTGCTGCACTGTCGAGCCACCCTGTGACGGCAGGGACTTGGAGGGATGCTGTGTCAGGGGTGTTGGCGCGGCTGCTCGATGGGAATTCGGCTTTCTCCTTTTCTCTGTCTTTGGAGGGGGGGCGGGGGTCAGCCCGTGAGGTTTTGGTTTCCTCGGGCCTTGTGGTCCTTTCTTCTCGTTTTCACCCCTGATGTCAACATCCAGCCTGTTCTGGGACAAATGTTCCGTATTGGCCGTTTCCCTCCTGGTCCCCTCCTCCTCGGGCTGCAGTTTGGTCTCGGGCTGGCGCCTGCCTGGGGAATCTGCCTCTCCAACAGTGGCTTCCACTGCCCTCTGCGAAAAGACAGGCTTGGGATTACACTAAAAACAGTAAAAACCGAAATCTCCTGAATTGCAATATGAGCCATTTCTGAACCCATTGTGACTTATTGCATGTTGAGTTCGTTTTGAAGTATCTTCTTACCAAGCCTGTAACTGTAGTTCTAGGGAGACCACATCTAGCAGGTTTTACAAGTAACCATTACAGTCATTCATTTCTGAAGACCTGGAAAAATGTAGGCGTGGTTATTTAAGTGGGTCGTGCTAAATTAATTTCGATACCGTTTGGCACACATATGAATGCCCTTTATTCCACAAAGATCAGAATTTCTTTATTTGAAGAAATTCCAGTAATTGCTTAGTCAATAACTTCCAAATTTTTATTCTTTAGAAAGTTTTAGGTTATGCTTAGGATAGAAGTAAATTAGACTGACCTGTGAGACCTACTAGATTAGGGCTCTCCAACACCTGAGTTGAAGAAGCCCCATTCTAAACATTCTCACTGTTTTACAGTCTACAGTATATACATTAACCAACCACATTTGTCAAAACCTGCATCAAGAACCGCTTTATAATAAAACTACTATTACAACAGCACAAAACTGTGTCAAAACTGGTTTAACCAATAAAATTAGTGTGTTTTAGTGCCAATTATATTACAAAACCAAGACCTAAATCAGAGTTTGCAGTAAAATTTACGACTGGGCAAACACCTGCCCAGGCAGCCGAAGTCTCATGTAGATAAGTGCAGAGTTTTGCATGCAAGTAATAAAACACAATTATAAATACAAAAGAGGAGCTACTGAGCTGGAAGACCTTTACATATGAAAAAGACCTCTGTGTTCATGTTGACACATCATTTGCATCGTCTAGACCCTAGACAATGAACAGTGGGAAAGCAACTGAAAAGGCAAAGCAAAACTGAAGGACATGTAGTTTGAAGTGCAGAATTTAAATCAAGAGATGTTTGGTTAAAATTGTAAACACACTAGTAAGGCCTCATGTAGAATACTGTATACAGTTTTGTTCACCGTTTAACGGAATCTATCTAGCCGATAGAGAAACTAGCCGTACAGTATATGTGCGTTGGAAATGAAGTCCAATACAAAATGGGATTTTCCTCCCATGTTCTGAAGGCCTTGCACTTATTCAGTCTCTGGGGTACCTGTGTGAGAGGGGGGCGCGGGGTGAGTCCTGTGTGTAGGACGGGCACGCAGCCCTGGGCCCAGGAGTCGGGGCCGCAGGGCAGGGGCTCCATGTCCTCCTCCCAGGAGGGGGCGCTCTCGGGCCCCTCGCCTTCATCCCGCACGAGAAACCGCCACTCGACCATCTGGACCAGCGCCTCCCGGGCCTGGGACACCGTGAAGGGCACCAGCTGGGCGGGAGAGACGGCCCGTTCAGTACAGGAACATGAAGAAGGCTTCACAGCCCAAACGGTGGGTTTTCTCTCTTCTCTTTTCAGCGTGGAAAAAAACCTGTGACTTGTTCATGATCATGTCTGTATATATATCCTGGATGAATGGGTAAGCATGTGAAAGAATTAGAGAGTAAGATGCGAAACCCTCCATACAGTACTAAAAGAAAAGTTTATTTTGTTACATGCACTGGAATTGAACTGGTAGTTTTGTTTAATATGGAATTACAACGAAATCCACCTCTTCATTTGGTTCAGTGACCCTTAACTGTCATCAAGAGACTGGTGACAGCCACCACATACCTTCCAATTTTATTTCAAAGGACTCTCTACTGGTAAAATGAGCGTCTCAAAAGCTTTGCATCCAGAGTTCATTGGGCACGCGCTGTGTGTTCCACATAGATTTCGAACGTTTTGTAACTGCAAAGCTTTCGCCAGTGTCGTGGGACCACCCCTAAGCAAAACCAACAATCCCGAAAAACGTGTCAGAACGAGCAAAACAGGATATGAGAACCTTATGATCACGGATAACGAGGTTAATTCCGCCCTGACGAGCAGACTGAAAACAGTGTTGGATGAAGCCTGACAGCTGTTCCTCAGCGGGGAATTGCCCTTGTTCTCTTGGAGCTCGAGTTCCCCCCAGGAATCGGCCGCCCCCCAGGAATGTTCCTTGCCCAGCGGCCGCACGGCTCACCTGTCTCTGCAGGTACACTCTGTAGCACTCCTCCATCACCCGGGCCATCAGCCCCTCCACGACGTCCACCACCACCTCCTCGCCCTCCTCCCGCGTCACCATGGAGACCCAGTCGGACTCGGCCAGCCGCCCGGGAACGATGTCCGCGGGCGCAGAGGCGCTGGGGGCGGGGGGCGCCGCGGGCACCGAGGGGGCACGGGACTTCTCGGCTCGGGACTTGGACAGGGAGCGAGACATGCTGGTGGGGCGCAGGCCAGCTGGGTGACAGGGGGAGAGAGCGATCCACAGTACAGATGGGAGAAACACACACCGGCGCTGCTGGCCAGCAAGCCATCCCGTTTCTTTGATCGAGAAACGCCTGCCTTAGTACCCAGCATCCCCATTTCCTTTACCTCTCACGCACTACATAGCTGAATGAGCTTATGGAACACAAACGAATGGACACAGGAAAGGTTGCAAATGACGGTCCATTCGGCCTCTAACCCTGTTCAGGAATTAGCAGCTAATTAATGATTGAACCAAGGAACTCATCCAGCACTTTCTTGACTTAAAAATAAAATTAAAGAAAATATCAGCTTCAACAACATGGCTGAGCAGCTTGTCCCAGGCTCCCACAATCCTCTGGGTTAAAAACGTGCCTCCTGTTCTCAGTTTTAAATGCATTTTCATGTAGTTTTCACTTATGTCCTCTGGTTCTTGGTCCACTGTTGAAGAAATCAGAATCATGAGCTGACACCATTTAAATGAGAATATGTACCATCTTCTAATGATCTGGACAAATGGCACTATGGGAATTTTGGAACAGGACTGTGGCATGGACTTTTTCTATTATTTAATAATACTGAAATATACAGTTGTATGCAAACGTTTGGGCACCCCTGGCCAAATTACATGTTTTGTTGAGTTTCTAAGTGAAAAGAAGTTAACACAACCTCTACAGCGAACAAACATAAATCTGACATATTTCTGCACATTTTAATGCACAGGTACTATTTATTTGCTGAATTTAACAGATTGGAAAAAATAAAACAGTAAAAGTGGCATGTGCAAAAGTTTGGGCACCCTGTCAGTCAGTACTTAGTAACACCCCCTTTGGTGGAAATCACAGCCTCCAAATGTTTCTTGTAGTCAGCTAACAGTCTTTTTATTGTTGCTTTAGGAATTTTTCCCCACTCTTCCTTGCAGAATGCCTCTAGTTCAGAAATATTCTTAGGTCGCCTTGCATGCGCTGCATGTTTGAGATCTACCCACAGATTTTCAATAATATTCAAGTCTGGGGGCTGTGAAGGCCATTCCAAAACCTTAATCTTTCGTTTCTTGAATAAGTAAAATCGAACTTCTTTCAGCTTCAGTTTCGTCACTGACTCTCGGACATTAGCTTCCAGGATTTGTTGATACTAAGTAGAATCCATTCTTCCCTCTACCCGCACAATACTTCCTGTGCCACTGGCTGCCACACAACCCCAAAGCATAACAGATCCACCCCCATGCTTAACAGTTGGCAAGGTGTTCTTTTCTTCAAATGCTTCTCCTTTCTTTCTCCAAACATACTTTTGGTGATTATAGCCAAAGAGTTCAATTTTTACTTCATCAAAAAATGCTGTGGGCACTTGGTTCCAAAACACTCCTGGCTTATCTAAGTGTTGTTACATACTTCAGACGTTCCTTCTGATCACTCTTCCACGCAGATCATGTTTGTGCAAGCAACACTGCACAGTAGACCGGTGCACCACTACTCCCATGCCAGCTAAACCTTCCTGCAGGTCCTTTGCAGTGATATGGGGGTTTTGTTTTGCATTCCTGACCAGTCTACAAGCAGTTCTATCGGAGATTTTTCTTGGTTTTCCAGATCTTGTCTTGACTTCAACAGTTCCCCTTAACTGACATTTCTAAATGACATTTCCAACAGTGGACATTTCAAGCAGGAAGTGTTTAGATATCTTTTTATAGCCTTCCCCGGCTTTGTAAGAGTCAATTATCTTCATTTTCTGATCCTCAGTCGACACTCAGCTGAGAGGTTCGACGTGTCAGAGAATTTATTAATTTATTAAACTCTGGAATTGTCATCACCGACTTAGATTAAGGCCTAACGAGTCAATTAAGTTCTGAGACCTTACAACAAAATAACACTAGAGGATCAACTTTTGCACATGCCACATTTACTGTTTTATTACATTTAAATCTGTTAAATTTAGCAAATAAATACTAACTGTGCATTAGTATTTGCAGAAATATGTCAAGTTTAGGTTTTTACGCAGCAGAGGTTGTGTTAACTTCTTTTCACTTAGAGAATCAACAAAACATGTCATTTTGGCCAACAAAACAATCAATTTGGCCAGGTGGGCCCAGACCTTTGCGTAAAACTGTAGTGTTGAATAAAAACAGTTCTGGGAGGTTAGGCTTAAAATGACGAAAAGGGAAAGTAGTTATCCCATTAGGACGTTGTGCATGCCCACTTAGAATGTGGTGTGAAGTTTTGCTTTACATTTATGAAAATAGATAAGTTACTACCACAAAACAGTGACCATTAACCATCTCCCAGCAGCAATATCACCTGCCACTGAAGCTCAGCAGGTGAGAGCCTGGCCAGTACCTGGACAGGAGACCTCCTGGGGAAACTAAGGTGCTGATGGTGGTGGAGGAGGGGAGTTCCCGTTACCTGGAAGGAGTTTTTAGTGGAAAAGCGCTCCATACACGTGTAAGGAATTGCCATTACAGAAAAATAAAAACGCGTGACGATGCTCATCACGGGGGGAGGCTACCTTGAGTAATTCGAGTTTTTTTTTATTTTAAAAAGGAAGACTCTTTATGACAAGTTGAAGATCACACACGCCTGCAGGTTTAGGCAAATCTGATGCTATATCACCTCCCGAGTAACCTTCCGTGTGTTGTTAAATAGATCGAATAGCAATAGCTCTCATCGTCCAGCAACACCGCAGAAAACATGTTTTCCAATGAAAAACACGGGAATACACAACTCACCTTTAAGGCAAAGACGTTGTTTTGGATGGGTTTTTTTTATCACAGCTCCTCCACTGGGTTTCTCTATTTGGGAGAAGCCGCCTAGTTGCTTAGCAACCGCAAACGCGCGGCCGGTGGTGACGAGAGATGACGTTGAACACACCTTGTCCTCCTCTCCTACACAGCTCTCGGTGACGTCGACGAAAACTGACCTGTCACTATGGCTGCGGTCGATGCGATCTGACGAGGGGGCGGTGTAACAGAAGATGTTTTATTAAGCCAACGGGCAGCGGATAGCAAAGGAAAGGATCGGCAGATATTTTTTATTTCATTATCCGTCGTCAAAGACAGAATTGCCGCTGAGCACGACAGTTTTGTCATACCGTGGTGATATCCTGCCTACAGGACCAGAAAGACTAAGCTGACATCAGGGTAAGCCGGTTAATTAAAGGATTGTGGCGAGTTCTTTATTTCTATAGTATTCTAACACATTAATTGATTGTATTTTCACACATGCTGTCATCCATGTTATTTGCTAAATTGTATTATGCATTATACGTGTTTACAATTTCAGCGTGTGTGTATTATTAAACTCCCTGCAGTTTCTGTCTGTTTCAGTCCATTCGGCTCCAGACTAATCAGTCTTTATAATCAGTTTCTACAGACCCCCACCCATTAACTCTAAGCAATACGATCTTGTTAAGGACTGCACCGAACTGGACTCCTAAGTATAGGATTGCAAAGCTGGGCTTCACCCTGGCTGGACACCCACTTCAGGGACACCAGTTGACCTAGCCTGCGTGTCACTGGGAGGTGGGAGGAAACTCTTTGAGTGCAGGGAAACCATGCGAGCCCCTCACAGACGGGCGTCCCAGGCTGGAATTGAGTGCAGGACTCAAGACCGGCACCACACTGTGATGCCCACATAGACAGACATCAGATCAGATAACCCCGGACATCCTCATCGTACAGCTGATACCGGTCCTGACGCGTCCAAGTGAGCTCTCTCTAGTGAATATCAGTGCTGGACAGAGATTATTGCGGCACGATTGTGGTGAAATATTCAAATTCAATGGCCGGCTTTCTAGGGAGGTCCTGGTGTCAGTAATCCTAACGCAGAAGATAAAACACATGAAAGAGAGAAGGCACAACTGAACAGTAGGAGCAGCTGTTCATTGCACTATCCATTTATTCTCTCTTTCATAGGCAGAGAATAGACATCCGTAAATAAGCAGCC